AGGGTGACAATCATGTCACCAGCAGGCACTGGGAAAGTTGTGGCACCCAATGCAGGGTTTGAACCCACAACCCTGGGATTAAGAGTCCCATTCACTGGGACTGAAGAAATTATTCTCTTCCTTACAACTGATAAATTCTGATTAGTGAAATCAATGACATAAACATCAATGAGAACTAACTTTTGCAAGATAACTTGATTCCATGTGAAATAATGATCATTACTAGTCTTGATCTAAAAATAAAAATCTAATTCATTTGTATTGATAACATCATTATAAGGATATATGTAGTAGAATTTATTTTTATTAAATTCAATTTGGTAATAGTTTAATTTCACTAGACCATTTATGTTCCAATGATGCACAATCTGTTAGGCTCAGATACTCAGGTCCTTGCTTATGTACCTTCAAATACAGATATGTTTTGTTTACATGACCCTACTGTGCTAATACTTTATGGTCATTTAATTCTAATCCTGTGTGCTGCTGAAAAGGTTTAAAAGTTAAATAGCTCTGTCGTGGAAATGCTATGACCCCACAGCAATGGTTATTGTATGATCATTTTGAGAAAGTAGAAGGGCAACCAAGTGAGACATAGCTTTCTCCAAGTGGGCTCAGAGATTTGATACTTTCTACTGTATTACCTTTTCTAATTTTAAAGCAAAAATCCACTACTCAACTTAATTAAAACACTACAATACCTGCTGAAGGGAAAGGCTAAGTGAATGACCCATGTAGGAGAGGCATTAGTCGCAGCCCAGTTGATATTATGAGACTTAAGACAGTGAAGACCAGATCTACAAAGCTTCTTAAGTATCAGAGTCAAAAGTTACAGGTCCTGAAAACTCATACACCTCCGTCACATAACCCTGGACATGCTTAACAGTTGAGTACCCCTAGTCTCAAAATTAAGGTTTCCCAGCCCATGAGGACCTAAGCACTTCATTAGAATGGGAGTGAGTAGCTCAATTCCTTTCACCTTAATTTCAGGAGAATTTAAAATTTATTTCATTTACCCTGAAAATTTTAACCAGTAGAGAGCAGGCATTTTTTTGTATCCTGTTCCCTTAAGTGCAAAACTGAAGACTAGTTATATTTTAAAAGGCAGATTTATTCAACAATAAGTGTATAATAAATTATTTCTGTTATGATAAACACAAACACAAAAAAAGGAGCCTACAGAGGGTGGAAGCAAGGGCAGGTATCCTGGGAGGAATTGTAGAATCACTGAATGGCTTAGGTTGGAAGGGACCTTGTAGAGCATAGAGTTCCAACCCCACTGCCATAGGCAGGGACACCTCCCACTAGAACAGGTTGCTCAAAGCTCCATCCATCCTGGCCGTAAACATCTCCAGGGATGGAGCTTCCACAACTTCTCTGGGCAATCTGTTCCAGTGCTTTACCACCCTCAAAGTGAAAAATTTCTTCCTAATATCTAATCTAAATCTACCTTCTTCCAGTTTGAAGCCATAACCCCTTCTCCTATCACTACATGCCCTAGTAAAAAATCCTTCCTTAGCTCTCCTTTAGGCCCCCTTTAGGTACTGGAAGGTCACAATAATGTCTCCCCAGGGCCTCCCCTCCAGGCTGAACAACCCCAACTCTCTCAGCCTGTCCTCATAGGAGAGGTACTCCAGCCTTCTGATCATCTTTGTGGCCCTCCTCTGGACCCACTGCAACAAGTCCATGTCTTTCCTAAATACAGAATACAGAGAAATTGTTCTAGTAGCCAGTGGTCAGGTTAGGAAAGCTAAAGCCCAGATAGAACTAAGTCTGGCCAGGGCCCTCTATAGGAGAAGATGAGGTTCAAGACCATCTGAGGAACTTGAAGGTGAACAAATCCATGGGACCTGATGAGACACATCTGTGGGTCCTGGTGGAACTGACAGATGAAGTTGCTAAGCCACTATCCATCATTGTTGAGAA